CCCCCCCCCCCCCCCCCCGCCTACATTCACACAGACTTTGTATGTGTAGACGCAAACACGCTTCTAGCGTACCCCATTATTTGTTCATGTCCCCTAACAAGTTGAGAAATGAAGCACGATCGACCCCAGGGTAGTTTGAACCCGCGAGCAGCGGGGTTAGAGAGATAGAAGGAGGGAGGAGCCAGCGCTAGGAACGCGCAAACCTCGCGCCTGATCCCCGCTCAAAACAGTCCATTTTTGGATTTTTGCAGAAACGTATCACTTGAGTTAATAGCGCCGACTGTTGACGGCGTCTGTGTAGAAAAGGCGTTCTTTCGAAAGGGATGAAGCATGGTCCATGGTGAATTGACTCTTTGAATAACGATCGGCAAGCATACATGACGATACCCTTTACCCGCCCGGACCCCCCCAAACGCCACGGAACAACAACGAATACATACGGGGTTGCTCAGGTGTTCGAGAAGGAAATGCACGAGCTGGCATTCACGTTCAAGTGTCAGGACGAACGCCTGACGTCGAGGTTCGTGTGCCACATGCACCTGCGTCGGGTTATCGGCGACCATCAGCCGATCGCATAGATGGATTGCTTCTTTTGCACCGGCCGCTCGATTGGTGTTTTTTCTCTTTGAAAGCGGAAGGAGGAATTGAATGCCGATCGAACGACAGTCAGTGGATCGATCGAGTGTCGCGTTGTTTCGATGTCAATAATAAGCTTCTCCATTGAGATTGGTCAGTGTTCTTGGGCTTGCTGAGAGCTCGTTAGTCGCATTGAATATTTGAGTGACCGGCACGCGCCGGGAGCAAATCGTGACTTATTCATTGAGAGGCTTGCGAAGCCTCATCTCTCCGTGGTTAGCACTTCTCTCTCCATGTCTTGAATCATATCACATCATATGGTTAGTCTGGGACAATTTGTCCATGTTGATTTTTCGCGATATCTTTTGAAAGAATTCGATTCAGGAGGAATACAAGCCATCTTGGTGATCCCCATAACAAGGCGAGGAACATATGAAAAGTAACAGACTTGCGGGAAAAATGGGAACGTACCCAAAAATGAGAATGGGCGTTTGTTTTTAGAAAGCAAACCACGCCTTTGCAACTCCCCCCATAAAAGTTGACAGTGCAGCAGCAGCTGTAGGTCTTTACAGCAGCTTTCGAATGAGCTGTTGCTCAAGCTGTATGTCCTCGGCATCGCCGAGGTAGCCAGCATCGCGAGAAATCAGGTCGAAACCAGCACGAATCGCTTTTTGCGCCCGTGAGAAGGCGTGATGTGGAACATGGCGGTTCTGATGAGCTCATCTCACAGCTGGGGCGAAGGGGTTTCGCAGGATAATTTTGGTTCTGTGATATACCCNTCCCCATAACAAGGCGAGGAACATATGAAAAGTTTTTTTTTTGACAGCCCCACACTAATATGTAGTAAACTCTGAGCTACCACTCCGAAATAAATGTTGAAGACTGGGAGAAAATCAGGGTTTTAGACCAAAAACGGAATATTTCGCAAACCAGATTTTTAATTGAAATTTGGAAAAAAAACACCCCTGGGGAATGTCGAGAGGAATCGATTGCCGTGGTCTTTTTCAATTTCTGTGGTTGAATATAGGTGGAAAAAAGCGAACAAAATGCCCTCTGAATTCCGCTTCTTGGCCGATAACTTCATTGATTTTCACTTCAATTCAAGACCGGAAAAGTTTTGCCTCCGGGGAATTTCGAGAGCTGTCCAAATCCGGTCGTAAAATTGTCGTCTGAACAAAAACACACCCCAGCAAAAAGCGAACCAAGATATTTCGGTTATTCCAAAATAAAAGACGGACCAAAAACAAAACTAAAAATCGCTTTCCACAGGGACCTGCTGCGCCTGGAGACAGCGCGTTTGCCGGTACGTTTGGTTTTCGGAACAACCACCTGTGTGCACAGAAACAATTCCCTAAGCGTAGCTCGGAATGGTGGAAAAATTGTCCGAGACTGACCATATGTGTATGTGGTGACCAGTCAGACAAGTCAGATGGGCGCCAAAAAAACGAAGAAAGCACCCACCAACCGACACACAAATAATAATTGTTCGCATACACGAACGGAGAAAAGAGGAGCACAATGCATTCAATAGTTCGGGGGAACACAACGCAGGCAGGGACACTGGTTTTCTGCACTGACCGTGCAAAGCGGAACAAGATTCGTATAAAACACTTCCTTCGCCCCACCCCGGGCGTCTGGCTGTGGTCACCTCTGGTACCACCACCACCTCGGGAATGTGCATCTTTTCATGTTCAGCACTCACTCATCACCTCTAATCGTAGGCGTTGAGAGATTTGTGTGAGGCGCCTATTTTACCACACCAGCCGGTGGCCTTGGGGCCGTTTCACACAGCTATTCTATGCAAGACCTTCAAGCCATCCCTCCCGCTCAAAACATCTACGGTGGCCCCTGACAAGTCCCGTTGTCTCCAGGCAGGTTGGGGCGCCGGGTCGTTCTTCACTGCCGAATTCTCTTCCAGAACACACAAAAAACAAAGAAAACCGGGTGGGGGGACGAAAGCAAAGGAAATCAAGCGAGGTAATTATTCTTGGCGCGCCCGAAACAACTAGCGATTACGCGCTAGTCGTTCGTCGCTGGTAGAGCCAGACGTTCCTCATCTTCAGCTTTCGCACGCCAACCTACCTTGGAACTGCTATACTGCTGCGATCTACTGCCGTGTACCAACTCCTCCCGTACGTATCTACATTGACGGAGCCACAGATATCCAAAGCACTACCATGCATGCATGCGTGAATCCGTTTTATCCAAAAGCTTCGTTCCACTGCTATAAGTCTATAATAGTCACACCCTCGTCTACACGCTCAGCCAGCACCGATGCAGCTACACCAGGCCTACAACAAGAGAGACTGGACACGAGCAAAAAAAAAAGCAAAAAAGTCTGCAACAAAAACGCCACACCCTCAGCAGGTGGGATATGCCAACAGGCTAACCGTTCCCCCACGTCTAGGCAACCGTAGAAGCAGACGTGAGGACAAAATTCGTCGTATCTTCTTGTTGTCTCTTTACTTGGCACCGCGTGCGCCCGTTCACACAAAAAAACGACGGCAATCGTTCGTGCTGTATTCTTTCTCGTTCACTCGGAACGAGCACTGCACCCACACAGCCGACGTGCATCGCGTATTAACATCTAAAGCGATGTGACCTCTCCTCTAAGAAAAAATTGTACACACCCCGGCAGACAACAGTAAAAAGCAAGAGTCTAGTCAGTAATTTCCACCCGTCTCCAGTCATAATCCAAGACGAACACAACCTTCGACCTGTTGTTTCGGGGGGCAAATAAACAAACGAATGCATCCTGAGCACGTCGTAAAAAGCACTCAGCTACCAAGGCAGTACCCACACCACATGCCCGCTCTCTCCGACGGTTCCAAGGGACAAAAAAAAAGAAGGGCGCAGCAGTCTTAGCCCCCCGCGGCAGCGTACTTTTGATGTGTATATATATGCTTGGAAAAAAAAAAAGTGCCGTCGAACCTTTCCTTCTCGGTTCGATTCTACAAAGAAAGTCGCCCGGAGGCGAAAGAAACGAGACGTGTATATCGGAAAAAACAACGGTGGGCGAGCGTACGCTCGAGGAGAACTCTCGCGCGCACACAGACATATCTATTTTTCTTGCCCACGACAACAGCACCTCTAAGGTCTGCAATAACAGGGCCACATTTGACCAAGAGGAGAACGACGACTGCCAACGACACACCCACTTGGGCCGAACCCCAGGCAAGCCCAAGGCAAGTTCTCCTCGTTGGGCAACGCATCCATCACTCCTCCCCTTGCCCCTCACAAAAGCCAACAAAAAAATACTCCACCTTCCCGCATCGTCAACGAAGGAACATGCAGAACCCGCCTTCCCATCATCGTTCCCGGCGTGCCGGCGTACTCCCAGCACCCTCGTTGAAAAAATAAAACAACGCCAAATCCATGAGAAAATGAATGGATCCAATCGACCCTACAAACCGCGCGTCCCAGATGTCTGTCTCCTCCGTTCACATCGATCGATCTGATGTCACATTGCCTACCTCACGAAGGAACAGCCCAACACACACAAGAGACGACGGTCTGACTGTTCGGTCAGCCGACATTAGCTCTAACACGAATGCAGCTGCCGCTACCGTCGCCGCCGCTACCGCTGCCGCCGCTACCGCTGCCGCCGCTGCCTACCCCGGCCGTACCACCGGCAGCAGTGCCAGCAACAGCAGCTGCTGCTGCTACTGCAGAAGCGGGGGCGGAGACGCCGCCGGTGGCGGGGGAGTCTAGGATGCAGATGCAGAAGTGCATTGGTCTGAGCTGGTCATCGAGAACGGCGGAGATCTGAACCACCCCCCCCCCCGGNCCGCTGCCGCCGCTACCGCTGCCGCCGCTGCCTACCCCGGCCGTACCACCGGCAGCAGTGCCAGCAACAGCAGCTGCTGCTGCTACTGCAGAAGCGGGGGCGGAGACGCCGCCGGTGGCGGGGGAGTCTAGGATGCAGATGCAGAAGTGCATTGGTCTGAGCTGGTCATCGAGAACGGCGGAGATCTGAACCCCCCCCCCCCCCGGGTTGCCGTTGAAGATCTTGCCCGGCACCTGGAAGAACGGGGGGTTGCCGTTGACTCCGCGCATGCTGAGGATCGAACTGATCATGCTGTTCACGTATACAAGGAAAACAAAAGGTGGGTTACGTACGTGGGAGGTCAGCGAAACGCGGCAGAATTGAAATTGGGAGGGGAAGCAAAGCAGCACACGCGGTAGCTGTGAACGCGGAGGGAATGAGCGCATCGGACACAGGCGTTTTTGTGGTTCCTCTTGTCGTCGTTGCAAGGCATACGCTGCGGATGAAGCACCCCGAAATGGACGGGGGAGGCGGCGAAAAAACCACACCGTTTCCTTCGCCGCGGCGGCAGTACAAGGACAACGGGCACGCAAGGCGATCAAAAACACACCTCGAGCAAACCCCAGCAATATCCCAAACGCGAAACGTGAACCGTAGTCTCCTCCCAAACGCACCTGAAAGTGTGCTGGAGGAACGGGTCCGCCACGAGATCGAATATCGTCATGAACAACGCCTCCTCCTTCCTGAAACCCGTGACCTGGGTGAGCCGGGTGTTGCAGTCCACGAGGTTGCCGTTCACGTTGGCAATGGCCATCGGCATCGGCAGCGTCCGGAACACCCTCTCGTAGTTCACGTGCGACAGTGCGCGCGCGGTGGCCGCAAGGTTGGCCGCCCCCATGGCCGACTCCGTGCCACCGGCCGCGCCGCCCATTGCCACTAGCGCCCTGCCGGCAGCCACCGTCCCCGCCGCCGCCGCTGCCGACGGGGCCACGGGCATCCCGTCGACGCCGCTTCTCGCAGCCGCCGACAAGTTCGGGAACCCGGGCACGATCTGCTCCTCGCCCTGCTGCGGCGGGGTCGGCGGAGGAAACACCATCGCTCTCGCCGCCGTCATGGCTGACGTTGGTCTTCCCATGTCGCCGTCGTCGTCGAGTGACAGCAGCGTGTCCAACATCGTGTGTGACGACGGCCTTTCGACGACAACCCCAACGCCAGCGCCGCGATCGCCAGCGCCGTGCTGCGTGGGAAGAGCCGGGGCGGGGACGCCCGAAGGCGGCGGCTTCACTGTTCGGCCGGCCGCCGCCGCTGCCGCCGATGATGGTGACGCTGCTCTCGAGTTGTGCAAGAGCTGGAGGATTCTCGCACGCTCCGCTTCCGACTGCGCATGCTGACGCTGCAGGTGCGCGATGTAGTCCGTCGCTTCGGAGAGGACGGCGGACTTGCTTGCCTTAACGTCCACCCCGAACTGGCTCAGCATCCGCCGCAGGTCCTCGATGCGCTGGCTGATCTTTAGAGACCTGTGCGTTTTAAGGTGTTTGTTTTAATTGGCGTTGTTTAAGGGAGCGAAGCAAGGATCAACGGGACCTGGAAACCAGCGGGCGAGACAAACTCGCAACATTGGAAAACTACGAAGAGAAGGAAAGTCACAAATCACTATTCTGCTGTTGACGCCACTGTATTCGTTGCAGTTGTCTCTCCGTATCCGACGAAATAATAATAAAAAAAATAAAGAACCTACCGCTTCTGCTCTCGCGCGTTCCGCTCCAACCGCCTCTTGTTTTGCACCGTGGGTGCCTTGGTCATCGATCCGCCGTTACCGCCCGAAATCGAGCTCGTTTTCGACGCCTTCGTTGTCGTGCCCCCATCGCCCCCGTCCCCGCCTGTCCGGGTGCTATGCTTTGTGTCGGACGACGCAGTCCAGCCGGCCTGCCCCTCCGCCCTCCCCGTCATGCCCCCGACGCCGCCGGCCATGCCGCCGGCGGGGTGGTGGTGCTTCTGCCTGCTCTTGCTGCTGCTACCGCCGCCGCTTTTTTCGCCCCGGGAGGAGCGCTTCGCCGGCGCCGCTGCTTCCGAGGTATGCCTTTTTCGGTCGTGGGAGGCGTGAACCTGAAGACGTGGGGCGGCGACGGCGGGGGGTGGTTCAGGGTACGGAAACGGAGTTTCTTTGTGCAAGTATGAACGATTTTTTTATGGTGAATTGCTGTTGGAACAACCTGACAGCCAATAAAAGTGCCCCACGAAAAAAACAACAACACCCCGCCGAACCGTCAACCCAACCGTAGAGAAGCGGCCCAGAAATAACCCCACATCAACCCCCGCTACCAGCCGCCGTACGCAATGTAGGCACTTCTTTCGCAGGCGCGCGATGCGTGTCTGGGGTGTGTCTGGTGTAAATTGGTGTGCCGGATGCGTGCTGGCCACACATACATAGGCATCGCCCCCCCCCTGGCACACGAAATCTTGCATCTTCTTTTACAAAATAGATACGTGGGTGGTGGCAAATTTACGCGCTGTCGGCCCTTGTACAACAAGCAAAGCTAGCATGCATACGACTTGTGGGAACGCAGATGAACACAAAACCATACCGGACATTACAGTAAGCATACTTCCATCCATACTTGTACACAGGTATCTCCTACGACGGCCCCCACCTCTTTCGCCTCCGGCTTGACCTTGTCCAACCTCATCTTGGGCTCCGAGAGCACGACCCCCTTCCGCGCGCCGCCGCGCCCCTGCTGGACCTTCGCGCTCGAGTCCGCTACCCCCCCCCCACTGCTGCCGTTGCTGGTACCGCCGTCCTGCTGCTGGTACCTGTCCTCGTTCCAGCTGTTCCCGCCGCCGCCGCCGCCGCCACCGTCAGGGTTCGGGGCCGGCGGCGGTGGTCCTGGACCGGACGCCTCCGCGGAAGGGTTTCCGGCGTCGACGTCGTCGTCTTGGTCGGTCTCTCCGTCGCCATCCTACATACGGGGAACGAGTGCGGATGGGATATATGTGACCCCCGGTTGGGTTCGTCTAGCTGGTAGAAGTGGAAGATAGGGGCCAAAGGGGCAGACGACAGAGTCCAATCATAGGAGAAAAAAAAAAAGTCGGGAATAATAAGAAGGCGTTCGCTGCATACACGTCCAAAAACGAAAAAATGGGTACAGGAGAAGTCGCACACATCAGGCTCAGCAGGGAGAGCCTTACTTGTTTTCTGCATATATATATATAATATCCCCCCCCCCACCCCATGGTCGCATGGATAATAAGAAACGCAGTCTGGGCCCGTTAAACACCTGTATATTTCTCCGTCCCGGTATTGTAGGGGTGCGAGGTCGATCTCCTACGGGATTCGTTTTCCATGAGAGCAACCCCTCGCCCCCCCAGCCAAACCCCGTGATTTAGAATGTACTTCAACGTCGTGGCGAGGTGCTCTATCTGGTTGAATTTGTTCCCAACACACGCACCAAGAAACTGCCGTGCGGATGATTGAAATCTCTCGAAGCAGCAGCAGCAGCAGTGACAAACGAGGGCAAAATATTCGGGCCGCCACACAAGACGACCCTACGGACCAAACGGCGGAGAGGGACTCGGGCGGTGCTTGTGCTGCCCTGCTGCTGACGTGTGCGCACGTTCGATACGCCAAGACGGGATCTTGCTGATCGAAAAAAAAACACTCAAACCCTTATTATGCCTCGATGCGTTTTTCTGGTTCGTGGAGGCACCCACAGGCAATCAGGCGAGAGAAAAAGCTCGGTGGTCTCAGACAACTAGGTGCCGTGGGGCCTTCTGCTTATCGGCAACGCACGCAACAGAGCGCAGAAGCCACTCTCGTTTGGGGGTGCGCTATGGGTTCGTGCGTAGACTTCTAGAACCCACGCACTGCGAGAGGAGGGCGTGCAATTCTGTCTAGAAGAAAAAGTCTTGCTCTGGCCTGCCTGCCCCATGGAGAAAACTTGAAAGCACATCCGCACCTGGTCCATAGGTCTCGAGTCATCTTGCAACGAGGCGTTGCACGCGCGGTCCATCTCCAGGTTGTCCAGCGAAAAGGGAAACCACTCGTCGCCTCCCTCCACCTCCGCCATGACGAACGGGCCCACATCACCATCCTCGTCACCAAACAAGGCCATTTACCCTGCTTCTTCACTAGCTCCTTTTCCCACTCTCGTCCCTGCCTCCCTGCGCTCTATTCGCTTCCAAAAAACAATCGCGTCGCAGGGATGTCTGCCTCCCCTGCCCTCCTTATCTGTCTGTGGTCTCGCGGGGCGTCTCTCGGCCTCTCTCTTTACTCTCGCTCTCGTGAGATGGGGAGTTGTTTACGCTCGCGTTCTCTCTGGTGCCCTCTGAACTCCGGACTCAAACCACAAATGTGTCATATTAAGAAAAAATAAATAAAAATACCCACGTACGTATCTGCCGGGCTGTTCGGCGGATGACACTGGTTGCATCACCGCCACAAGCTACAAACATGTCATAGCGACCAACCAGGAGGCGTTATTTGTCTGCAGTTGTCCCCCCCCCGTGCGGGACGTGAAAAAAGTACCCGCGAACCCTGTCGTGGGACAATACTCGATGAATGCACACCCGCAGATTTCTACCGGTTGGATCAGATCGGAGTACAACACGGTGTGCCGTATCCCTTTCATGCTGTTTTTCGGCGAGATTGGGGCACCTCTCTTCAGAGGTACGTCAGTGTGGTGCAACAGCGTGCCGTATGCATACAAGTAGGTTTCGCAAGACATCACACGTGGAACCGATTTTCATTCAAAACTCGAGAGAGTACTTTGAAGAAAGACAGCAGTGGCCGTGCCGAAGGCGGCGTTGGGACCATTTCGTCGATAGAGCTTTCCGAAAACGTCCGAAAACGTATCGTTTGACGTGGTTGTGGCATCCTCCTCGTTGTCGAGTACGTACTACTGCTGTAGTTGCTTTGAAAAATCTGTCCAGGGGGTGTTGTATCTTAGGCAACCTACGGTATGTGCGGAAGTATGCTACAGGTAGCGCCCGCCCTTAAGAACCGCTTATATTGGCCAAGGCTCGATGCTTATTGACTGCCTCAAATTCAGCACCTGTCCTTATTTTCAAAGTTCTTATTTCGAGCAGGCATATCCGTATGATACACGGGCTTCTTGTTCTTATTTCTACCTCGATGGCCCCATTCGGAGGACGTTTATTTTTTCCGGTGGATTCACAGCCCGACACTTGAGCGCAGCGTGTTCATGAAACAGAGTATATAAATTGAACGTCGCTCAACAGAGACCTCTGGAATCGACGTGCCGCAGATCACGATAGGGTAGAGTTAAATACGGACGCGGTATCGCCTGACAAAATTACGCATCTGAGCAAACACGTTGAACCATTTAGAGGTCCACAAGGGTCACGTTCGGCGTAATTGCCCTCCCCCTCTATCTAACGCCCGCCGTAGCTACATTGCGACCTTCACCCCTCTTCGAATGCCGGACCTCCTCCCTGCTCTACGGCGCGATCCCCTCAAGCAAAGCCCACCACCCTACCACCGCACCCGCATCTTCACTGTGCTTGTCCAACGGCATTCATGCGGCGCTTCATTGGTCTACATGTACATGTAGCTCGCAATGCACACGGTAGTCGTAAAGGTGGCGGGTACGCTCCTGAGACGGCCGGGTGATCAGCTCACCACATCAGCCCATGCTCAGTTTTAAGAGTACTCCACATGCAGCAACGAACTGTCAAGAGCAGCGGGTTAAGACGCTTGAATTCGAAAACTGGTGGGTGCGGCGAAGGAAGGGGTGTCGGAAAGCTTTCGTCGCCCCCGCGCCGACTCGATGGCCTCCCATCTGACTTCGTGGGCAGTTGCCAGCAATGACATGTTCTTTCATGGCCTCTAAGTGTCGATCAAGAATTACACCTCCTTTCAACTTCGACAGCTGGCCGAGCTCTTTCAATATTTCAAGGGGTAAAGACATGGCTCTCGTGCATGGCACGCAGCGTGCCCAATTACGCGCGACGAGGGGCATGCCTTGTACAACAAAGCTAAGCACCCATCCCCCCTCCCCCGCCCTCCTCGGTCGTTGGCATCGGGGTTGGGTTTACGTCGCGTGGCAACGACGTTGCAAAACAAGCCGCCCCCGCCCCCCGATGTTTGCCATCGGGGATGAGTTTTCGTCGCTTGGGAACGACGTTGTAAAATATGCCGCCCCCCCGGTGTTGACGGGTGGGAGTCCATCGTGAACGCACGGCAGAGGGAGTAGTGGGAAAGAAGGTGGTACGATGTGGGGTATCGGTTACGTGGTGGGATGACGAGCTGAAAGAAGAAATAGGGGTACATAGAGAAGTCTTCAAGCAGTACCTGAGTGAGGCGTCTGAGGAGAGTTGGGAAAAGTACAGGGCCAAGACAGGTGAAGGGACTAGTGAAAATGAAGAAAAAGTGTATTTGGGACAAGTAGTGCAGAAGGCCAACGGAGACCTGGAGGGGAACGTCAAGCAGATGTGGGAAGGGATTAGTTGTTGTTGTTGTTGTTGTTGTTGTTGTTGCTGTCTTCACATTAAACCGTATGTCAATTGCTAAATGCCAAAATCTAGCAAAGACTCTCAGCCCGTGGTCACGAAAGTGCTAGAGCCATCTGAGGATCTAAAGAACACGCACACATACAACGAGAAAAAGGTGTCCAAGAGCCCGAAGAGGTACACCTAAAAATCCCTGCAGCACCGTATGCGTGCCCAAAAACTGAACTGCACGTCCGTCCCACCGTTCGACTACAGTAGCATCACCCCCTCCCTGTCCCACTCTATACCAAAACGGAAGATTGCCGACTACAGCATAATGCTGTCTGAAGTTCTGTCTGTACAAAAACACCATGGTAGGCATGGAACAAGCAGCTGGCGGGGCACAAAGCTGCTGTCTGAAGTGCTGTCAGAATGTGTCTGCGNCTTGAGGGTGAGTCTAGCCCTGCTCGCCAGAAAGAGCCCCCCCTTCACTGCTGTTTGCGGCCTACGCCACGTCTTTATCGGGTGAGACTGTTTTGGTGATGTATTGACTTCACGAGAGGTCGACGACCGTCCGTCACACGGACAAAAGAGAGAGTGCTCAAAGAGCGGCTCCTACAGCAAGGAGGGGCCCCGTGAATCATCGCGGTGCCCCCTACCAAACGGTTATCTTACCAGTCTGCGTGACACAAAATCATCCAGCACATGTATCCAACAGCAATGTTCGCAGACTCACGAACACCCTCCCTGGTTCTTCACGAAAGTGACTAACCATCAATTGGGCAAGAACGCCCCAGGATACATCAGAAAATACCAACATGGTAACATATGGAGGGGAAACCCGGCGTCCGGGCAAAACCCCTCAAGGAAAAACCCTACGACCACAAAAAAACCGTCGCTATCACAGCGGATCACAACGGCCGCACTTATAAGAAAGGCCAAGGCGAAGACAAGAACGCGAGGAACTACGTTCCTCCGGAAGATGGTCTCCCAACGCCCCCTACTCCTGCCATTGGTACACAGACCGCAACAGTTATGCGCCTTTCCCCGCATGGAAAACATGGCCTCTCCCAAGT